ACTGAACATTAAGGTACTGTACCGCTGTTCATATTTCCATTGTACTAGGTTCTAAAAGTAATCTAGCGGTTACTTCTGAATTTTTATTCAAGAGGATGTGGGTAGGTTTCATGCAATTGTGGGTAGGTTTTTTTTTTTAAGTTTTTTTTTTAAAAAATTATTTAAAGAAAGACAAAACAAAACAGAAAACGGGTAGAAATAATACATGTTTTCAAAGAAAAAAATAAACAGTAATAAATCACTTGTTGATGTTTACATATTGTCCTCTTACAAATAGTTGTTCAAGATATAAAAGTGGAACATATAAATGGGAATTCAGACAGTAAGACTGCAAATAATTCTGTTCAACTATCTTATAAAAAATATGATTATCAATCCTATACTTTTAAACATACACACATTTATCCATACCTTTGTTTATGTTAAGATTAAACAAACCAAAGCAGACTAAAATCACTCTGAACAAAGAATAATAATATTGCTGAATTTCACATCATGACACTCCAGAATCGCCTTTGGTCCTATAGTGTCTTTTTTTCCTTCAAAGTATTTGTTCATTTCATCATGTGTCATAAAATCAGTTCTTGTAAACTGTTTATAGGTTTTATGCCAGCATGAGTCTTAACATGTATTTCTATCCTTTCTATATTAGAGGGAGAAATAGAACAAAGCAGGACAGAACAAGACATATTCCTATAGACACCTAAAACTAAAAAGATATATAAAACTGCTGTACAAGGAGTTCTACCATGGTTCCTGTGTTGTCTCTTGTTATCATCAATAGAATTGGCTATATCATCAGATACAGTATTATTGAATATATCAGTACGTAATAGTATTAATAGAAATATAACTTTGTAGATAGTGTAGAACTACAAAAACAGGTAGTAATCAAACGAGCATGGGTATCATAGTGAATCATTGTCATTTTCAGTATAGTTGTCTATACTCTCAGCCTTGATACTATCAACCTTAATGGTTTTGAGTAAAATCTGTCAATAACAAACAGCAATCAAACAAACCAGGTTTAACTGAGATCAGTCATGATATAACAGTATAAGTTATACAGGGATCCAGATTAAGTTAATAGGAAATTGAAGATGATTACTGTGCTATATCCTGATATTTTTGGGATAGCTGTCTGTGCCCTCAGAGCTAGTGCTTGTGTACAAACTAGAACAGAATAAGTTCTACCTAAGCAGAGTGGTGCTAGTAATATGGGTTTTAATTCCTGATACACTGTTAGCAATATCTTCTGCAGTCTTTTTAAAGACTATTCCTCCCTTTTCACTCCCTCAGGGTATACTGTGCATTTTTGGGTCTCCCCAACACCCTCGGTATTATATTGGGGGGCAACCTGCTATTTACCTAAGTGGTTCTGAACCTTCTCACTCCTGAACTTGATCTCTAGTTGTATTTCTTTACCTATAAAAGCCTGTCTCTCCAACCTATCCATAAATACTGGTCCAGTTGCCCCTATTACTCTCTGGTTCCCTATCACATCGAATACTGTTTTCTCACGTTTGGTTTTTGGTCCATATATTCTTCTTCAGGTTAATTATATTTCCTATAAAGAGCACCTCGGTGGACCTTACCTTTTGATCTACTCTGCCTGTGATTCTCTATTTTTTCCCCCTTAATTTAGTGTATCTAGGCCATCTATATTAGAAATTATATCCAACCTTCTCTGCCTCATTTCTGTTGTGCTCTTTTTCCATCATTAGTTGTCTGTTTGTCTTCTTTTTGCTTTCTGCTCCATTCATTGAGGCCTCTCTGTCACTGTTCCTGAAATCCTGGTACTTTTCTCTCTCTTTAGAATGTCCTGAAGTATTCTCTGTAGAGCTGGATTGGTGGTTGTGAATTTCCCCAGTTCCTCTTTATCTTGGAAGCATCTTGTTTCTCCATAAATTTCTAGAGACAGTTTTTCAGGATACATCAATCTGGGCTGGAGGTTATTTTCTCTCAGGGCTTGGAATACTTTGCTCCATGCTCTTCTCGATTTGATGATTTGTGCCGAGAAGTCTGCGGTAATTCTAATAGGCTTTCCCTTGTAGGTAATCTGTTTCTTGTCTCTGATAGCTTTTAATGTTCTGTTCTTATATTGGATGTCTGAGATCTTGATTATTATATGCCTGGGTATAGTTCTGTTTCGGTTGTAGGTGGCTGGAGTTCTGTATGCCTCATACATCTGAATATCATTTCCTTTTCCTTTGTTTGGGAAGTTTTCCTTAATTATTTCTGTGAATAGCCTTTGTAGTTCCTTGGTTTGTACCCCTGCTTCTTCATTCACATTTTTTATTCTCAAGTGATAGATCCTCTTGTCGTTTTCTAGCTTTTGTATTGTTACTGCTTGTTTCCTTGTTATTTTTAAGAAATTTTTCCTTTCATGATCCCACATTGCAAACCTGTCCTTCAGTTTGGATAATCTATCCTTAGTTTCTTTTAAGCAGTTTTGCTAGCTTCCAATGGGGTTTTTAATTGGTAATCTCTTTGAACCTGCTTCATGTATTCTATGTTTTCTCTATATTGTCCATCAAACGGTTCTCTCCTTTTTTTTTTTCTTGTTTCTCCATTCTTCCTTCTGCATCTTCTTGAGAGGTCCTTACCATTTCTTTTATTATTCTATTTATATCTTGCTTTACTTGGTTAAATATTTCACTCGTCTATGAGGTCCCGAAGATATTGCTCTATGTTCACTGGTGCCGTGTCTGATATTGCATGTTTGCTGTCCTCAATCTCTTTTGCATTTACATTTCCTGGGTCAGTGTTCTTAGGGTTGGGGGTTGGGGGCCCTTTCTTGTTGCTTCCTCTTCTCATATTTTTTGTTCCTTTCATATAGGTGTATATAGGAGGCCCCAGTTTCTTTCTTTGTTGGTTACATTCTGTCTGAAATGTGCTGACTAGGTGCTCTTGCCCACTGCAGTGTACTATAGAGGTACAAACAGGGGCAGCATATGCTGAGCCCTCCCCTCCTGGTCAGTCAACCTGCCGAGGGCTTCACTGCATTATGGTGCGCTGCCAGGCATAGGGACTTGGTTTCAGCTAACCTACTGGGTCTCAGCCCGGGGCATGACCCAGGCCAAGCACAGCCCACCTATCCTGCTTGAGAAGGGAGCAGCTGACTGAAGTCGCCACTGTTCCTTGTTCTCTCCAGTCTGCCCAGTCCCAGAATGTCATCTGTTGGAGGCCCTTTTCCTATGGAATGGTTTTATTCCCGTCACTCACCACAGGTCGATGCAGGTTACCTGCAAGCTCAGTTCTCCATTCGGCTCACTGACCCCCGACCTCAGTGTGAGTGCATCTCCAGTGAGGTGAAGCGGCGGGCTTTTGGTAGCTCGGTAAGTCTTGGCTGCGTGAGTTCAAGTGCTACAGGGGGAGCACCGAGCCTTCCAGTAGTAGCACTGGGACTGTATATTTAATTGGTTTCTCTCAGCTTAGTTTGTTCCTGGGTTGGGAGTATCCCCTCCCTCTGTTCGGCACTCCCCACACTGTATTATTTTTGGAGTCTAAGTTGACTATCTCAGGGAGTCTCGGTAGCCTGCTGTTAGCTATCCGCCATCTTTACTGGAATCCCCAGGTAGGTTTTTTTTAATAAGTGACCCAGCATCTAGATTTTGGTTTGAGAGTAGAAACCTGGAACTAATTTCCTTCAATATAAAAGGAATTACTTTAGTTATGTATCTTGTTTAATTTCCCCATATTTATTTATGAGCAACAGTATTATTTTTTATGTGTTTTCTCCTTGCTGTATTCCAGTACCTAGTGTATCTCTAGCATATTGGACACCCCAGTGGGGAGTTTTTAAAAACTGAAAATTTTTGAAAGAACTAATGTTAATTTGCAAATCACCTTCTTGCTCCCTTTAGATATTAAAATTTATCTTGTATTGTATAAGCTTAGTCATATTTCTCATGAACTTTACTATGCATGCCCTTCCCCAATTAAATGACAAAGCATTGGTGTGTCAAGGATTTTGGTTTTTTGAAACAGGGTCTTGCTCTGTAATTCAGGCTGGTCTTGAACTCTATTCAGTCCAGGCTGGTCTCAAACTCACAGCAGTCCTCCTGCCTCAGCCTCTGAAGTGCTGGGAATTATAAGCATGTGCTGCATGCCTGGCTTGGCAAGGATTCTCTGGACATAATCCCAAGAACACAGAATACAGAAGCTAAAGCAGAGAAATGGATGACACTAATCCAATAAGCTACTGGCTGGACAACCAAGGAAACAATCAACGAAGTGAAGAGACAGGCCAAAGAATGAAAGAAAATATTTGCAAAGTATTTATTTATCTGGCAAGGGTTAATATGCAGAATATAAAAGAAATTTTTAAAAATTTACTAGGAATTGGTGGTATGCATCTGTAATCCCAGCACTCAGGAGGCAGAGGGAGGAGGACTACAGTGAGACTGGACTCTGTAGCCAGACCTTGTCTCAAAAAGTATTTTTAAAGCTATGGGGAAGAACTTAAATGGACATTTCTCTAAAAAAGACATACAAATGGCCAACATATGTAAAAAAAAATGCTCAACTTTGCCAATCAGTAGGAAACCATAAATCAGTACTACAATAAGTTATCATGTTACTGCAATAGAAATGGCTACTATTTAGCCAGGTGTGGAGGCACACACCTGTAATCCCAGCACTTGGGAAGCTGAGGTGGGAGGATTGTTGCAAGTTCCAGAGCAACCTGGGCTAGAAAGTGAGTTCAAGGCCAATCTGTACTGCATAGTGAAACTCTTGTCTCAAAAAAGACAAAATATATGGCTACTATCAAAAAGACAAATACTGTTTGGAATATAAACTAATACAAAGAGCACAAAAAAGTATGGCAGTTCTTGAATGATTTAAAAATTAGTCCTATTACTAGGTAATTATTTCAAGGAAATTTCACTCTGCTGAAGAGTCAGCCACACTCCTGCCTTTATTGCAGCATTATTCAAAATGGCCAATGCCTTAGTTATCTTCTTGTTGCTGGGACAAAATAACTGAAACCCACAAGGTGAAGGTTAAAGGAGGAAAGGTTTATTTTGGCTCACAGTTTGTAGAGGTTTCAGTCCACAGTCAGCTGCTTCCAGAGCAGGGCAGTATGGCAGAGCGGCATCACAGAGGAGGAACAGTCCACAGCAGGGTAGGCAGGAAGCAGAGAGCTATAAAGGAGCACAGTCTTCTTTCAGCCCACATCCACAGTGACTCATCTCTTTCCACCAGACTTTACCTCCCAGCATCACACCAAGCTGTAAACCCATCATGGGCAATCAAGTGTGACACACATGAGCTATTGTCACATGTCCATGTTGCAATTATTTCCAAAAACCTCATCTGTGAGTGTGTGGGTCTTTGAGGGGACATCTAGATATAACTTATAACAGCACATAAAACAAAAACAAATGTATCATCTATCAATTGATGAATGGATAAAGAAACTGTTGGACATGTTCATACTGGTTCACTGTTCAGTCATCAAAATGAATGAAATTCTATTATTTGCTGCAATTTGGATGGAACCAGAGGTTCTAATGTGAAGTGAAACAAACCAGGTGGAGAAAGGTGAGGATGTATGGTCTCATTCATGTGTGGAATAGAAAAGAGATGATCTGACAGAAGTTGAGGGTGAGTGGTGGTCTGAAGGGGCTGGGAGAGTGAGAGGATGAGATTGGTCAGTGGACACTGAGTTATAGTCAGACAGAAGTGACACGTTCTGATGTGCTATTGAGCAGTAAGGTGACGATGGTTAACAACCATGTATGTATAACTCAAAAATCTGGATGCAAAGATTTTGAATATTTTTGCCATAAAGCAATGAAATATATTTGAGGTGATGGTCATATGTAACCTGATTTAAATTTATACAATGGATATAAATCAAAACATCAAGTGATATCCCATAACTATGTACATATGTATTTAGGTATCAGTTAAAATGTAATTTCAATTATAACAAAAGAAAGAGAAGAGAAATTTAAAAGTTGTTTTAAGAGGTAGCTATCTGCAAATGCCAAAGAAATTAAGATTTTTAATCCTGGAACAAAAACGGTAACAACAAAGGAAAGATTTATAGCAGAAGCAAAGATATGTTCTTTGTTTTGAATTTATAATCTGCCTGGAAATTTCTTAAATTGAGCATTAAAATTTCATTTTATGGGGCTGGGGATTTAGCTCAGCGGCATAAGCGCCTGCCTTGCAAGCAGGCAGTCGTGAGTTCAATCCCTGGTACAGATAAAAAAGGAAAAAGACAAAAAAAAATTCATTTTATGACACGTTAGTGCTCTATGTGTAGTCAATTCTTAATAAGTAAGGCTGCTAGATATTGCTCTCTATACTTTATACTAATTCATTATGTACACTTATCCCATACCCATACAGAAACAATTCAGAATTTCAGAACCCTTAGGGAATGACTGCTTTTCAGGGGTGTCTTCCGGGTGTAGCTGGTTTTTAAGTTTTGAATCTGCTGCAAGATCCTAGCTTTCCAATACATTGGGAATGAGAATTTGCTGCCTGCTGCCCCCGCTCCTGGTTATTTGGCACTGGCTCACAGCCTTTTCTATGACTCTTAGGCCATGTAAATTTCAGTCTTGGTGTATAATAAAGAACAGCTGATTGGAACAGTTCCATCACTTCAGCTAAAGTGAGGAGCTTTTTATGTATAACAAAATCTAAAACAAACCAGAAAATTACATGTAATATGTAAGTCCTCAATTTGCCAATTTTACCCCAAGGGAAGAAAATTTAAAAGGGGCTAGGAAAAAATAGAAATATAGAAGAAGCTGAAGAGTTTAGAAGCAAGGCTGGTGTACAAAGCAGAGTGTCACACAAACTTTGAGAAAATGGTGCAGGAGGTAAGAGGGAAAGAGAAGGGAGAAATAAAAAAGAACAGAATAGAACACCACCATAAAAAAATATAGAATCACATTCACACTCATAAAAAAGATCAAACGATGCAGAAAAAAAAAAAAAAAAAAAGAAAGTCCATTTACGGATTTGCCTTTGCTGTCACTGGTAGACAACATGGGGAGACAGAGTCTAGATCCATGCTGATTTATCTGAGCAAGCCAGCAGTAGCCTTATGGCGGGGTGGTGGGTGATCTCTGTGAGTCTGAAGATGGGCAGTGGATTCATAGTAAGTGAACCTCTATGAATCACTGGTCCTGGCTGAGGCCTGGAGAGGCCTGTGATGCCATGACACCTCAAAGGACAGGATAAGGCCACAGCTGAGGATGCTGGCCCAACCCCAATTGATGAAGATGGTAGCTGCAGGTGTCACACTCCTGCAGTGAATGTCAGCTTGGAGATTAAATAGTCCTCCTAATTCGCATGATTTACTGCTTTGGGGAAGTCTTTGAACTGACTCCCAAGGTCAGTTCCCATGCTTTTCTCAGTATCCCCTCCCTTTGTTTGAAAACCAAATAAATATGGGCTGCCCTGAGATATTCTTTGTCTCAGCTGCCAAAGATTCCCAAATTCTGCTAGGGCAAAAATCATACCACTTGCATTTGTCTTGTATTTAGCTCTTTTCCGTCCACTTGTATGGGACGGAAAAGTCCCTTCAAGGGTCCTGATCAGTCCGTGATACTGCAGGACATCCGATCCTGCAGACTCACTACCAGCTAGTGTAGTCCTCTGTGTCCACGTTCCCTTCCACGGCTGCATGTCTCCGTGGAGGCCTCTGGAGTCACCATCGGTCACCATATGTCTGGGTTTGAACCGTTCCTCCCACACAGTGGGTCCCCACAGAGGGAAGGCTCTCGCGGCCACCTCCTTCTTCTGTATTGAGGCTTCTCTCCTAGCTCTCACTGTGAAATTCAATTCATGCTTCAGATTCTTCCCGGGCCCAGGGACCCACTTTCCTCCTTGTCTTGCTCACATTGCTATATTCCAGCATCCAGACAACCACCCTCAGAGAGGCTCTTCCTCTGTTCCTTACCACTCTAACATCTTTTCAAAATTTCAGTATTGGAATTTTGTGGTTGTTCACTGTGCAATTTAATCTTAACGAACACCTTTAGGATATTTGGGACCCTTTATTGATGTAGTACTATGTCAGTTTCAGTTATCATGAAGTAACATCATTAGTAAATTTATTTCACCTCTTATACTAAAAAAAGATGTCATAATAATGTGGAGCATGATTTTACAAAAATTAATTTGCTCTATCAACGAACACAACTCCTCTAGTTTTTTTAAACACTCCTCCCCCTGAAAATTTAATGTAATTTACATGGCAAGAATCAATCTCTTTCCGTCTTCCCACCTTTCAATGACAAAGGGATGGATACCCATTTTTAACCTTGAATAGGAATTGTAAAAACAAACTAAAGAAAGAAAGACCAGAAAAGAAAAGAAAAAGAAAACAAAGAGAAAGGCTTGAAAAAACTGACGTTTTAGCCCTTCATAAAGATGATCATTTATGCCAGTTTAAAAAAGCCAAACTCTGAATAAAACCTGGATAAGAATAACTATTTCTATAATGTATTTCAAATACAATAATGATCCTTTTAAAAGGCGTTATCAAATAATACTGATTAAACCAGTTATATAAAGATGACAAAGCATTTTATATCAATGGAAAATAACTGATACAGTAGCCAAATCCTGTCTCCACAATAACCAGATTTTCCTGTCAACCAGAAAGGGAGGCTGGGATTGGTTTCCGGATCCTGGGAAAAACTTACCTCATTGGTCAACCTGGGCAACGCCCTGCATGATACAGCTGTGTATACATCCTTGCTGTGAGTGGGGAGCTGTGCTGCTGGTGCCACAGAGTGAGGAATCCCTTCTGGAGGAGGCAGGAGGAGAGGGCCAACCTCCCCTCAGCACAGCCTGCAGAGTCAGGTGGGTGGGCAGTAGCCTTCTGTGTACCCGCTCTGGGATTTGTTTCGCGGCTCTCATTGGGCAGCTGCGAGGGAAGGTGGGGGTTGGGCCTTGAGTCGCCGAGTCTGGGATTTGGGAACAGCTGCCTCCTCTGCACTGGGTTTCCCTGTCTGCGGAGTAGGTGAGTGTGAAGGGAGACTGGGAGAGGCGCAGTAAGTGTGAAGAGAAACTAAATCAGAGCCCATTGCAAGTTCACCTTATTTGGAAGCAGCTGGACCTGGCTGGGATCTTGCTTTGCTCAGGAGACTTCCAACCTGGAGCAAACCCCGCGTCCACTCTGAGCTGGACTGTTTCCTCATCTGTAAAAAGGGAGTAGGACCCCACTTTCTGCCATTACAGGGGAAGTGATGGATAAACAGGCACCTTGCTGCAATGTGTGCTTCTACGGTATCATCGATTCTGGTTTCCTCATTTTGGGGCTTTCAGTTGTGCCTTGCAGGGTTTAGGGAGTCCCAGAGGCATCCAAGATGTGGACCCTGGGTTCAGGAGGAAGGAAGCCACCAACAGAGAGAAATACACCCCAACCCTTAATATGGCTTCTTTGGTAACCCCAGCATACCACATCCGTCCTTCCCTCACCCCAGATCCCATTTGAGGCCCAGTACCCCGAGCACAGAGCAGTCTCCAATCCTCTCCAGCCCCCTAAGGCTTTTTAGAACAGTAGGCAGGAAGCCGGTTCTGGACCTCATGTTCCCATTTTTCACAGGTTTGCCTGGACTTGGGAAACTTCACTCTGCACCATGCCTTTAGGTACAGCTGGCCAGTTGGCCTTTTCCCTGGCCTCCAAGGTAGCATCAGCAGTGGCCAAAGTCGGTGGAGAGGCCACTGGTTCTTCCCTGTATGACCTCTCAGCACAAGGTGAGTGTTCCTGAGAGGGGCAGTCTGGGAGCGTGCAGGTGCTGCCCTTGTGCCAGCCCTGGTCTCCCGGCAGCCTCCAGGTGTCCTTCCTGCATTCCCATTGCAAGGACCCCAGGGCCTTTGTCTGTGAGCCTGAGGCTGGGACCCCAAGTTCTCTCAGATTCAAGTGATCAGTAAATCCCCTCCCTTCTAAACCTGGGCCTCTGCAGCCGGGTCCCATGGAGACAGGAGAGGCCGCTTTCCCTGTCACAGCTAGAAGAGGGAGTGGTTTGGCCCTCAGCTGTCTTACTCCTTGCCTGGCTTCTCTTTGCTCCTCTTTGATACCTGAGTGGACTGAGACAATTTGCCTTAGCATCCAGCTCTCCCCCCGTTAGGTTACCTCTGAGCTGCTCCTCTGGCCACTCTGAGTGGAGGTGGGTTTGGCCGTCAGCCTTTGCATCCCTCCCGTTTCTTCTGTTACTTTTGGTTATGAAAGAGATTTCTTTCCAGGTTCTTGGTGTCCTAAACGAAAAACAATATGAAACAGGTTGTGAAGGTAGAAAGGAAATACACTCTGACAAATGAAGGAAGGTCAAAGAACAGACTCAAAGTGCCTGCAGGGAATAATGGCAGGGCTCTTCAGTCTAAGGGAATGCTAGGTTGCTTCTCTCCCAACGCATTGCAAGGGCTGTCCTACCAGAAACTCCACTGGCCTAATGTCAAATTTAAGCTGTCTGGTCGAGGGCCCACCAGACGTAAATAAGGCTGGAAAAGGGCCACCCCATATATGAATTTTGAGGCTGCATGGTCGTTAGGGATGCTGCTCTGTGTGTGTGCTCTGGGCCTCTGTGACTGACTGGTTCTTCTGAGTTGTTTAAGCAATTTCCCTTCACCCTAATCTACCACACTCCAACTCCAGACCCTGCAGCCTCTTTGAAGAATGAAAGGAGAAACCACCTCTAAGGTGCAGACATCAGCAGGGAATCTGGGCCCATTATCCCTAAAGTAACTCAGGTAGTGTTATGGTTTGTGTTCAGATACTCCTCATAAGCCTCATGCTGTCATGCATGTGGCTGAATCCAGTGTTCGTGATTGGTTTGTTATCTGGTGCTAGGATTGGTGCTGTGAGTGCTGCTCTCACCCAGGGGCAGAGCTGAATACAGTGTAGGGGCAGGAAGAAAGCGTGTGGTCGGTTAGCTTGCTGTTCTGCAGTGGCCATGGACAGAGGCCCCACCATGCCACCTTGCCTTGGAGACAGCTGAGTATGGACTGAAACCTCCAAAACTATAAGATATAAGAATTTTTCCTAATTTTGAGTGTCAGGTAGTTTGTCTCAACAACAAGAGAAAAATAACTAAGACAGTTCATCTTCCTGGAAATCCCCCAGCTTTAGCCCCACGATTTTTATGGAGACACCATAACTTTCAAGCAAGCAGCCATATCTCTGCTGTTCAGCAGAACTGCCACCATGACAGTAATGGCTCCCCGCACCCACTGGGAGTAGGTGAGTGTCTTCCCTGACTGCAGTGGGCTTGAGTTTTAAATATGCAGTAGATTATCTATAAAATGTACCAATAAAATTCAAACAAACAAAATTTACCCGACTGAAGTAAATTAAATTACAAAATAAAAAAGAAAAAGTGGAAAAAGTCATCTCATACAAAAACTCTTTATTTTGAATAAAGATTCCAGTTTGGAAATGTTACACATTTTTAAAAGATTAATTAAGTGTTTTACCATCTTGAAATTTCATGCAGAGAGAAAACTTCAAAATTAGAATTTTTATAAGTTATAAAAAGTCTTTTCATAGCCATTTTATAGTTTATTTTATTGTAAAGAGAGTAAAACCCAACAGTCCAAAACAGAATAAAGCCACTCAAAACAAAGCAGTGAAAGTGGAACATAACTTCAAAACACCACGATAGGTCATCAGCGAGGGCTACCATCATAGATCTTGTTTTCTTCTCAATAGTTGTCCATACCATCAGACAGAGTAAAAGCAAATAAAATAAAACAGAACAAAACCAATCAAAACAGAGCATTGAATAAAACAAAACAACAAATCAGAGCAAAACAAAACAGTGAGAACAATATTGGATTTCAAAACAAGACAGAAGGAAACCCCCCATGTTTGCCATATTGCATAGTTATCCTCCTAATATCTGCTCAGACTACCAGCTTTAGTTCTGTAAAATCAGTCAAACAACACAAGCATTTAGTCGGTTTTGTACCTCACTTGCTGTCAACTCAGCCTGTCCTCCGACCCTGCCAGTTGCTTGTGGAGAGTGGGAGTGATATTTCCTGATTCTCAGCCTGTGCACCCGTCAGCTCAAGGGAAAGGAGACCTGGGTTCTCTTCTGGGCTCGGCCTGGTTTGTGCAGCCTGTGGGAAGTTAGCGCTGGCTTCTTGATGTGCTCCTTCCAGACCCAGCATGGCATCTGCTGACTCAGGGGAAAAGCCAATCGGCTTCTCTCTTTCTGAGCCCCACATGGTCTGCCTCAAACAATTTTGATAAAGTATTTTCAATTCTGACATGGAAAATGGAATTTATTGTTAAGAACAAATTAAGAATTTAAAACATATTTTCATCTCCTTAATTAGATTTCAAAATGTTATTACCAATTAAAATTATTATAATACCTTTTTAAAAAAATATGCAGCAGAATTTAACTTGCACCAATCAGTAGGCTCCAGTCAGAAGGCTGGAGTTTAGACCCACTTGGATCAATCATGGGCTGGAATCTGGGCTGATCACAGGGCTGCTGTTGCTGTATCAGCAGCTCTGTCACATTTCAGCCCTCACTCTTGAAAGAGCTGTAAGCAGAGACCGACTGTAGAGGGCACAGTTGGCCTACAGTGTGTGGCCTTAAATGACAGGTGCCTGACAATGGCAGAGACCACAACCAGCAGGGAGAAGCAGCAGCTTCGGGGCTCAGAGGTAGGGCTGGGGCCACTGGTACGCAAAGCTGGGAGTCACCTGCAGGACTGCACTTTGCTGGTTCGTGATTTCTAACGGGATGGACAAAAGAACCTTCAGGGGAATGGCAGCCGTGCGCTCTAGCTTGTCCTGCTTGATCTCCAAGCCAGGCCTTGGGTTTTAACAACATTCCGCCCTCCTGGACTCTGTCTTCATCTGTTTTTGCAGGCACTCTCGCTATGCTTGTTTATCTCTTCTCATCACACCTTCCTTCCCATATCCATTTCCCTCCACCAAGGCCAGCACTCCCCTCACACTTAATGTCTATTTCTCGGGCATTTTGGCAGAATGAGTGCCGTGTGCAGTTGCATGTGTTTTAGGTTACACTCAAGATAGAATGCTGTACATTTCATCCTTCTGCTGATTTCCTCCTGACTACTCTGACTCTTACCTTCCTGTCTTCTGGGGTGGACACCCACAAGTTCTCCATCCTGCTCTACTGTGAACTGAGGAAGGGGGGCGCAAGTCTGTGACCCCTGTCCTGACCTCTGGCCCTCTGTGCTTCCTAGGGCTCACTCTGGTATCCCAGACTGCCAGTCCTGCTGTGACTGCCCTTGGGCAATGGCTGGAGACACTGAATGTTGGTGGCATCCTGCAGGGGTCCTCTGATGCTACTTCTATGGCTGCTTCCTCAGTTGGAGGTAAGTGGACCTGAGTGACAGACACCCCACCTCAGGCTCATTGAGAAGGGACATCACAGTGACAGTCTCACTGTGTGTTTGAACCAGTCCTGGCTTGGCAAGGAGAGACAGGGCAAAAGGTAACTTCTAATTTCCCCACAAAATCCCCAGTCAACCAGCCGAGCAGCCCACAGGCCAATGAACAAAGAACAAGCAAAACCTGGAATAGGTGTTGGATCTTCTGGAACCAGGACCCCAACTCTGTCTTTAGATCCTTCTGGCTTGGGTAGGCACTTCACTCAGGACTGATCTGAGTCTCCACCAGGTCTTAAGTGTGGCTGAACTGAGGATCCCTTCTGTTTGTCATATTCTCAAGAGGGCAGGCAGGGTCATTCCTTCCTGGGAGCTCTCCCCGGGGCCGCCCCCGTTCTTGGTGGGTGGTTGGCTTGGGGAGGGAGGACAGGGCAGTGTGGATCTCCCCTCACAGAATGTTCTTTTGATTTCAGCCAAGGTTGCCATAGCTGCAGCTGGAGGAGGTAAGTCTCTACAGGGAAGCGGGTCTAGTCCTTCCCTGGCTGGCACACGGGGACCAGGGAAGCAGCCATGCTATCCTTACCTGGGTTTCTCTGGAGCCTCAGGAGATGATGGAGGAGTTGGGAGGAGGGAAAGGGCAGGAAAGAAGAGACTGGAAACCACTAGAGATCAGAAATGGACTCAAGGAACAGGTGTAGTGTGCAAGCGGGGTGGCAGTGTCCTCCACAGGGGCTATGTCCCACTGCAGGGCATCCCTGTGACCTTGGCATGTCTTTGAACTGCCTTGGACTCCTGTTTCATCTTAGGCCAGTGATGTCCATGCAGGGGCCTCTCAGAGGCGCAGAGCTTGAGTTAGAACAGCAGACGTGAATCACAGGGATGCTCTGGTCCCAACACCATGGGTCTGGTGGCTTCTCACATGCTTCTGGAAATTCAGGGAACCCAAGCCGCCATCCTGAGTGGTCTCCAATTGCTCTTCACTCACACTGACTCAGACCAGAGTTGCTTCTGTGAAAGCAAAGCTTAGGAACCATCCCTTGTCCCATCATTGCACTGAGGCTTGGCTGAGTGACTTCTCCAAAGAAGCTCTTGCAGGCCATCAGAGCCTAGATCAGGACCCTGACACCAGGGACCCCCACCCTTCCTTCCACTTCCCCCTGGCCCTGCTGTGTGGCTGGTTACTGCTGACCATGCTCAGAGCCCATCTCCTGTACACCTGGGAAAGACCCCAGGCTTGACCCATGTTGGGATCACTTGCCGTGAGCCCAGCCTCACCAGCTCCTCTCCCCACAGGGCTGGCCGTGGTGTCTGTGCCCCTGGTGCTGAGTGCTGTGGGTTTTACCGGGGCAGGAATAACTGCCTCCTCCCTGGCGGCCAAGATGATGTCAGTTACTGCCATTGCCAATGGTGGCGGGGTGCCTGCAGGAAGCCTGGTAGCCACTCTGCAGTCCGTGGGTGAGTGTCCAGCTGGGATTTGCTGTGGAGGAGAAGAGCAAACATGAGCCATGGAACCCTGGGGCCAGAATTCAGCGCTGTCGTAGGGCCGTGTGCCTGTGTCACCTTCCAGGTTGTCTGGGTTTTTCCAGGGGCCTGAAGAGGGCAGGGAGGAGCCCAGCCAACCATGCCAGATTCCAGCTGGGTTACTTGGGTCATCTCCTCCCTACCAGTGGATGGTGCTGATTCAGCCTCCTCCTCTGCATGACAAAGTAGCTTCCAGTTGCATTCAGTGCTTGAGTTTGCCTACCTCTGCCCTGTCTGAGACAGAGACCTTCGGGGTACAGGAACAGAGGGGACGCTGCAGGGTCCTTGGGATTTGGGCCTTCCTGAGGGGTCCTGGGGCCTCCGAACTATCAGCTCTGTCCCTTGGAGCACTCCTGGTCTGTCCAACTCTGCTCACCCTCTGTGTTTTTCCCCAGGGGCGGCTGGACTCTCCATGTCCTCTAACGTCATCCTGGGCTCCATGGGCTCTGCTGCTTCCCTCCTTATGTCTCATGCAACGGGCCCCTAACAGCTCCTCGTTCCCTACAGAGACTGGGACCATGTGAGCAGAGCTGGTGCCACCCTGCGTCACTCGGGGAGTGACCAGTCCCGAGGGGACAAGGCACCGCATCCCTAGGGAAAATAAGGAATAAAAATGAGTTACTGCAACTCTGCCTGGAGCTGTTGGAACCCGAGTGTGGTTTGTTTGGGAAAGGCCAAGGCTAGGCAAGAAGCTGTCTGATAACCGAGGTGAACAGGATGCTCGGTTGCTTCTCCTGACTTCTTATGATGAGGGACGTGGCATGGGTGTGCACTGAGCTGGAATGTTCTAAAAGTAAAGACAGAGCTCACCCTGGCCTGCCACTGACTCTGTGTGTCTCTGCCCAGATCACCTCTTCCCTGGCCCGAGCTTTCATAGCTATTGCTGAAAATGTAAACAAAGCTGCTTCAGAGAAGGAGCAGAAGTGATGGAGTAACCTGTTCAAACCTTAAGGGGAAGGTAAAATACTTCAGACAGTGGCAGGTGTGATGATAAATCTGTCCTAAAGCAGCAGGAGCATTTTAAGGCGGACTAATGGCAACAAGATTTTAAAAATTTCAACATTCCCAGTGTGTTTCAGTTGGGCCCCACTCCTGCTGCCTGGCCGCTCTGTCTGGCAAGGCCCTTCTGCTCCTGCCCGGCCCCTGAACTGGCAGCTCTGCTCCATCACCCGCCCTGAGCGGTCATGCCTCTGCTGGAGCCAGCCCATCCGAAACCTTGACCAATGAAGCCTTCACTGCTCTGAAGTAGGTGCATTAACAACACAGGGATCCAGGCAGCCAGACTGATAAATTTGGAATTTTACTAACTGAGCACAGCAACCACCCATAGAACCCTGTTTCAGAGTCCAAAGAGTGGCCCTGAACTGAAGGGTCACAGGGCATTTAAAGTGAAAAACCACAAAGCAAGACATCCTGATGGAAATAATGTAGCTAGAATGTTACATTAATTTTGGTTGACACCTGTATCCTGCTTCTTTGTTGAGAAGGTTGATTTTTCTCTCTTATGGGTGCAGCTCATTCTGCTTTTCTCATGGGACTTGTATCCTGAGTAATTTTTCACTCTTCAGAGTCAAACACAGGGCACGAGTTAATTACAGGGCACAAGATGGCATCACTTATGCTACGCTACAACTTTTTGAGTTGTGATTGTTAGATATTTGGTCCCAACAGCAAGAAATATGACTAATACCCCACACCACCATAGTATTAGATTATATTTCACTGAAAAGCAACATTTTGTTGTGTCTAAGTCATGTCAGGAATCTTCAGATCCTCTTTCTTTCTTTCTTTCTTTCTTTCTTTCTTTCTTTCTTTCCTTCTTTCTTTCTTTCTTTCTTGTATATCAGGAATCGAACTCAGGACCTTGCCTTTACCAGGCAATCACCAGGTAGGGACTTATGCTGCTGAGCTCGATCCCCAGCCCCACTCTTCTGGATGTTGACAGGAAATGCTGCCGTGGCTTTGGATTTGATCATCATCCTCGCCCTCTTCAGTGGCTCAGCCCCACTCACAGAAGGCTGAGCCGCTCAGATGAAAGCATCTTTCCACACCCCTCCTTTGATTGTAGCAAAAGCAGCCCATAACCCAAAACTTCTTATCTTCTCTACTTTGAAGTATACAAATCATCACTGCTGAGCATGTTCACATTTTTATGAAAAGTAGCCCTATAATCTTTCCTTGCAAATCTGAAACACCTCACTCATTAAGCAACACTGCCTTCCCCCTTCCTCCCAGCCGCTGGTGTCTGCCACCCTCTTTTCCTCCTCTATTGACTGGACTACTCCAGACACCTTCAACAGGTGAAACCCTAAACTGTTTGTCTTATTGTGACTAATTTAGTTTGCATCATATTTTGTAAAATTTTATTTTGAAAGTAGTAAAAACACAACAGCACAAGACAGAACAAAGCCAATCGAGACAATGCAGTGAAAGTGGTACAGGACTTCACAGTAGGATACTGGGATAGTAGTAATAGGTACTATGGTATATCTCTTTAACTTCACAATAGTTGTCCAATCAATTAGGTATAGCAAAATCAAACCAAAAATAGAACATTGTAAAACCAATTGAGAATACTGAATAGAGCAAAAGAAACATAACAAAACAGTGAAAACAACCTTTGCCTTCAAACAGAAGATAGAAGGAAATCCCCCATATTTGCTCTATTACATATGGTCCTCCTCCCAAGAGATGCTGAGACATCTGTGCCCAGTAGCCATGGGTGGGGAGGGGGGAGGAGGGCAGGGGTGCTCGATTTTCAGCCCGCGTGGCAGTAGGCCACAGGTAATGGTTCTCTTCTAGGCACATGCTTCAGGCACTTACAAGGGGCGGGTGAATAAGCTGCCTGAGTCCTACCATGGCCAGATCTCGGGAATTTGCATCATATTATGTTCTCAAGATCATTGATGTTACCGATGTGTGAGGATTTCTTCCTCTTTCAGGCCGGGTACTAGTCCATTGTGTGGACAGACCACATTTCACAAGTGCATTCACCAATCAGTGGATCCTTGCATCTACCTTCTGACAATAGTGAATTTTGCTACTGTGCCCATGTGTATGTAAATATCTCTCCAAAACCCTGTGTCTTTGTCCGCTGAGGCTGCTGTGACAAAATCCCACAGGCTGGGTATCTTATAACCAGCAGAAATGTATTTTTCACAGTTCTGGAGGTGACAGTCCTGATGAAGATGCAGGCAGATTTGCTGTGTAGCGGGGGCCCACTTCTTGGTTCACAGATGGTGCTTTATCTCCTCAAAGAAAGAAGGCGGCTTTCTGGCGCCTCCTTTAGGGGAGACTCTTTCCATTCTTTAGGGCTTGTACTTTCATTTCATAAACCTCTGAAATCTCACCACCTCATTCTGGCACCTAAGGATTAGGACTTTAGAAACTGACTTCACGAGAACATAAACATTCAGACCAACCTCTCTGCTGTCAGTTCTCTGTATATACACCCAGAGGTGGCACAGCTGTATCATGCGTACTTCTATTTGTAATGTTCTGGAAGTTTGCATACTGCTTTGCCTAGTGGGATGACACCGTAGAATCCACTAACAACATGGTTACAATTTCTCCATGAGAAGCCTAGTACTGGTTAGTTTCTGGTTTTCAACAGTGGACATCCTAAAGGATGTGAGGTGTAGATCAGTGTGGCTTGATTAAAGTTTCCCCAGTTAGTGATCTCCAACAGCTTTCTTTGTACTTTCTCTGTCATTTGCGCACCTTCTTTGGAGAAATGGTTATTGAAATCCTTTTTCCATTGTTAACGTACATGATTTGGGTTTGCTGTGACTGAGTTCTTCGCATGACCTGGGTAGGTGCATGCTCTTTGTTAGGTACATGCTTTGCTGCTCTTCATTCTGTTGATCATGTGCCAGGATGCATGAATGCAGTAAGCTTCTTAAAGACACATTTATGCATTTTTCTTTTGAGGCCTCTAGTTTTGGTGTCATAGCCAAGAAAATTTTGCAAGTCTAATGCCAACGCTTTTCTCTATTTCTTTGTTGTTTTAGTTTTATGTCTCCCCTAGAAATCTTTATTCTTTCATGCCTTCTGAGGTTATTTTTGTCAGTAGAAGACAAAAGATAGACATATAGTTATCTCCAAAGAAAACACTTTATGTAGTTTTTTTTGTTTTGTTTTGTTTTGCATTTCTTTTAAATTCTGGAGGTTGAACCCAGGGAACTTGTGCATGGACCCACAACTCTGCACTTTTATTTTTTATTTTGAGACAAGGTCTTGCTAAGTTGCCTAAGCTAACCTGTAACTGTGATCCTCCTGTTTTGGGATTTTGAGTAGCTGAGTGTGCAGGGCTGTATCATTGTGTCCGAATTTGTATTTGCATTTATATTCATAAAGTTTTCTTTTACCCAATACCTATTCTGCAGTGGACTTTTTCCTAGTCCAGGTCCATGTTTTGTTTTTTTTTAAACTTCTATTTTCTTTTATTTTGAGACAGGGTGTCACCAGGTAGTTTAGGCTGGCCTTCAACTCGGCATGTAGCGCATAACCCAGCTGGTCTGGAACTCACAGCAATCCTCCTTCCTCAGCCTCCCTGTTCGGGGCATGCACCACCATGCCCAATGCATTTCATTAACTTTTAATTTGTGCCTCACTTCCCACAGTAATAATGTTCCACATTTTATAGAGTCCTTTCTCTATTTTCCTAGAACCTAGGAAGCTGGATGGTGAGGAAATATTTTCTATCCTGCAGGAATTTCAGTGTGAACCACAAATCTGAAAATAGCAGCAGACAGGGACCCTCACTTTCAAAGAAAATTGCTGGGCTTTGGGGTCTGCCATCAGAGTGTAACACATCTATGACTCTGAGCCATCAGCTCCAGTAGTTTGTGTAGGGAGGTCTTGGGAGCCATCAGAAAAGATACTTGCAAAGGAAGCCAATCAACAGCTCTTCCCGCCCAGGGCTGGACCTGCACTTAGTTGTCTGTCTTGGTCAACTTCACCCCATTTCCCTGTGAACTCTGCGAGACGGGTGTTTTTGTGATGTGATTTGTACCTGCTGTATGCCAGTACCTAAGGCATCTCCAGAATAACAGGCCTCTGGTGGGAACTTTCAAAAACTATACATCATTGCAAAGATGAAAACACCGAAACTCACTTTTTTGTTTCCATGAAAAAATTAAAGTTTATCCTTTATTACATAATCTTAGTCCTATTTCTTGGGCACAGCACCCCCTACCCACTTTGCCAATTAAATGACAAAGTGCTGCGCAAGGGATTTTTGAACAAGACCCAGAATGTACAGAAAACAAAAACAAAAATGGACCAATGAGCAACACTGAGTAAACTAACAAGCTTCTGCACAGCCATGGAATCAACAGTGAAGAGACAGACCACCCTATAGGAGAAAATATGTGTAAGCAGACATCTGACAAGGGTTAATACCTAGAATATATAAGAAGAACTAAAACCTCAATAGCAAAAAAAGCAAAGCCCTGGGTAATAGCCCAAATAGACATTTCTCCAAAGACAACACACAAATAGAAGACATACAAATGGCCAACTTACATTTAAAAATGCTCAACTTCAGAATCATTAGTGAAGTGTCACACATTATTGCAATAAATATGTCACTCAAGTAAGATTGTTCTCTAAAAGACAAATAGAAGAAAGAACTGGTGAATATGCGGGAGAACGGGGGCCCTGGAGCGCCTTGGGAATGGAAGCTAGTTCACCACCAGGAAAGCAGCTTTCCAATGTTTAAAATAGACTAAAGGTGATAGAGGGGAAAGAAATTCCTAATCTGCTAGATGTCCAGCGCATGTTCCTGTTCTCTTATATCAAAGAATGAATTTAGGAACTACAGAGGTTAAGAACGGAATATATTTATTGAGAGAAAGAAAGCTTCTGTCTGAGAGAGACAGAAGGGATCCTCAGTGGATTGCCAAGGACTTTGCTGTTTCTAGGGGTTTTTATGGAGCAAAAACGACAAGATGAGGCCAGTCCAAGGTGGGGAAAAGTGGGAAATCACAAGATGGGTATGGGGTGGCACAGAACTATGGCCAACCAATAAAATTATGAGCATACTGTAATCCCAGCACTCCAGAGGCTGAGGCAGGAGGATCCTTGCAAGTTCGAGATCAACCTGGGCTACAAAGTAATTTCAAGGCCAGCCTGAACTACATAGCAAGACCTTGTCTCAAAAAGACCAAGCAATAATAATAAATAAAAATTATGAGTATAATTGCTCAACTAATATTGATTAATCGGGATCAAAATGGGAAGCAAATCACTCAGCAAGTGGGCATGAAACAGAACAGGGGCTTCTCTGGAGGGGCTGGGTCAGTGGCAGGTCCTGGCTTTCCCAAGGTGCTAGTGCTTACTTAGAATATCAGTCACTGTCATTTATCCTTGGGGGAAGTATGTGGGTGCTTTCCTTTCATCTTTTGTCTTGGGCCCTGGCTCTCAGCAGAGGTGCCTATCTCCCCCTCAGTTGCAAGGCTCCTTTGAGGGCCTAGCCCTGTCTGACTGCTATAATATTTCTACCTAATTTAGCTGCCTAATTTGCTGGCAATGTGACCCAGCAATTCTATTAGTAGGTAATGATCCAAAAGGAGTGAAGCCAGTCTATTGAAGAGACGTCTGCACGGTCATGTTTATTGTGGAACTATTCACAATAACCGAGAAACAAGCCAAGCATCCACCAATTGATGAATCCATAAAGAAACTGTGGTTCATGTACACAGCGGCACACTGTTCAGCTGTAAGAGTGGGATCCTGTGATTTGCTGCAACTTGGGTGGAGCCAGAGATTCTTACATGAAGTGAAAAGAACCAGGTACAGACAGCCGAGGATACATGGTCTCGCTCATACGTAGAAGGAAGAAAGTTGATCTTACAGAAGTTGAGGGTGAGTGGTAATTCCTAGGACCACTAAGTTATAGTGAGGGAGAAACAATTTCTGGGGTGCTGTTGCACAGCATGGAAATGTGGCTACAGATAGCAATAATGTAATATATAATATATATATATATATATAAATATCTGAAAAAGCTAATAGAAAAAATTGTAGCTTGTTATAAACCTATGAGTAAATGAGACAATGGAAACATTTATCCTGACTTTAACTTTTATTTTTTTGTCTTTTGAGACAGGCTCTCGCTATGCAGTTCTGGCTGGCCTTGTAGGCCACGCTGGTCTCGAATTTGCAACAATCCGCCTGCCTCAGCATCCCAAGTGCTGGGATTACAGGCGTGTGCCACCACACTCAGCTTCTGATTTTGACTTTATAAAACGTATACCTGTATCAAAACATCACGTGCTACCCCAGAAGTATGTAAATTGCTTATGCTTTTATGCATCAATTAAAATAAATGCAATTTTAATGAAAAAAGAAGAAAAAGCTGGTAGTTATTAAAAAATATAGATGTCAGCAAATGACAAAGAAATGAAGATTTTTAATGGTGAGAGAAGATAAACAACAATGGAAAGATCCATACCAGAAGGCAAAGATCATTCTTTGTTCTAACGTTATTCTTTTTAGTCTTATCTGGAAATTTCTTAAAATTGAACATAAAAATTGTACTTCATGACACTTTTATGCTCTTTGTGTGATCAATCCTTAATAAGTAAGGCTAGTAAGAAACTAGGCGTGGTGGTGTACTTCTGTAATCCTAGCACTTGAGAGGCTGAGGCAGGTGGATCCTTGCAAGCTTGACTTTTTCCTTTTTATCGGTACTGGGGATCGAACTCATGACTGCCTGCTTGCAAGGCAGGTGTTTATGCTGCTGAGCTAAATCCCCAGCCCCCCTTGCAAGCTTGAGACCAGCTTGGGTTACAAAGTGAGTCCAAGACCAGCCTCAACCACACAGTGTGACCCCGTCTCAAAAATAAAAAAAACGCTAGTAAACAACACCTTCTATATTTGATGATACTTCATTATGTATATTTATCCCAAGTCTATGTAGAAACAACTCAAAGTTATTTCTTTAGAAGAATTATGTTTTTTGTTCAATGTGTAAATTAATCTGAATGAGCATTTTGAGGATGTTTTGGATCCTTCATGGCTCTGTGAGTTTTAGAAAGTCATTAAAACAGTATCATTAGTAAAATTACTCCATCTGCTTTCACATTTCAAAAAGGCTTCCTAAGGAAATGGAGATGAGTTTACAAAAGGTGAATTTATTCTACCAACTTCAACAACTTCTCTAGTATTCTTACACCACCCTAGGAGAAAGAATATTTAATATAATTTACATGGTATCCCTCTCTCTTGTCTCTGTGTCTGTCTCTCTCTTTGTTATAAAATGATGCCTACTCATTTTAACCTTGAACAAGGATTGTTAAAAAGAAAAAGAAGATTTAAAAGTCTGCAGTGTTACCCCTTTTTCAAAACTGTGATTGATGTCAATAAAAAAGAAACCCTAAATAAACTCCGGAAAAAAAAAAATGTTCCTATGATGTATTCCAAATACAGCAAAAATCCTTATAAGATGTCACTGGTAAATAATTATGTAAAGACAACACAGCGTCTGATAGTAACTGGCAAGGATTAACACAGTGGTCAAATTCTGTCTCTGAAATCATGATGCTTTGTCATCAGCCAGAAAGAGGCTGGAGTTGGTTTCTGTTTCCTGAGAAAATGAAACCTACCTCACTGGCCGGCTTGTCCCCGCCTGCTTCAGCCTGAGCTAAGCTTCTTCAACAGCCAGATGGAATCAGCCCCTCCCCCCCCCCTCTCTGCCTCCGGGATCCAAAAAGCAGTCAGGCTACTTTGCAGTGGTGCTGGGGGCTCTGCTATCCTGGGTCGGGGGCACCCTCGCGCTCTGTGGAGACTCCAGGATCCTGGATCTGTAGCTTCCCGCAGCTCTGAACTGTTCCTTGCTCACCCTGTCTCAGATCAGACTTGTTTCTTTGAAATCAAAGTTCAGGAACCATCTCTGTCCCAGCATTGCACCAAGGCAGATGCTGAGGTCCCAACAAGTGACTTCCCCCAAAGAAGCTGCTGCTGGCAATCTGAGCTTGGGTTAGGGAGCAGTTAGGGGACTCTCCCTCCTCCCCCACAACTTCCTTCTGCTTTTCCTGCCTGGCCCGCTTCCTGGTTGGTCAATGCTGACCATACTGATGGTTTTCTGTGAACTCGGAGCCCACCTCCTCCTCTGTACTGTGAGGACCCCAGGCTTGACCCAGTGCATGAGTCCCTTATCCTGAGCCCACCCTTGTTTGCCCTTCCTCCAGTGGACACCATGCTGGGCACCGTGGACTTCAGGGCAGGAATGATAAACTTGTCCATGGGTTACCAAATCATGCTGGTGACAGCCATACCAAAGGGCAGGGCAGTGATCTTGAGCAAATGTAATCCTTGAGCAAATGTCCAGCTGGGGCTTGCTAGAGAAGAAAAAAAGGGACAAGCCCTCCAGTTTCCTGGGTGTGTGTGTGGGGGGTATCTCCTCCTGTGGAGGGGAAGAGGTCAGGAGGGATCTGGCCTATTGTTCCAGGCTCCCAGTTTTGGGTTACCTGGGTTATCTCCTCCACCCAAGCCTCTCCCCTGCAGAGGGAGGTGGCTGGAAGCTGGATTCTCCTCTGGAGTTCATTGCTGTCTCCAGAGACCCTGCTGTGGAATCTTCTCGAAGGTACTGCAAGCTGCTCACCACTGCAGGAACTCTCCCTCTCAGATTCCGCAACCCAGCGCTGCTCTCCACCTCCTGCCTTAGAGGGGCGCTAAGCTGAAGGATGTGAATGGAGGTGACATGACTTCCTCAGTCACCTGACTGGCAAAAGAAGGAAAGTGCTTCTGTGTCCTCAGAGCCTTGCCCTGTTCCTAAGTCTCCATAACAGCTTCTGAGCCGCATATGGGACACCCCAAATAGCCACAGAGCACTCTTGAAGGTAATGGAACAAGAGGATGAATGAACAAATGACATTTGAAAAGTAAATTCCGTGATCAAAAGGCTGCTCCCAGCTCAGCACATAAACTCCCAGTGTTCCAAGAACCACCAGGCCAGCAGCCTCTTGTGAATGTTGCTCACAAAGTTTTAAGAAAGGATCCTAAGTGTCCTTTGGGTTCAATGCTACCATTGCTCTCGGAAACACAATTTAGAGTTGATGAAAAGATATGGCCAAAAATGGGTGCAGAGTATCTTTCGTAACAGGATTTACTAGTGGAAAAGGTAACAGGTAACCAGGGCAGGAACATTTTAAAGTTGAAATTGGGGCTTCTCTTGAGAAATTGCAAAGATTCAAGATCCATACATCAGTGCTTGGAGTGATCTATTCCAGGGCCTCTGTGCTTTGGCACATGCATGACATTGCCTCAGGGGGTCCTGAGCAGGTGGGTCACTCTGCACAGATCATGGAGCCACATCCTGCTGCGGTCCACCATCTCTTCCCCTGGTGGACTTGTAGGTATTTGCCTTCTACCCTCATTGCCATGGAAACATCTAAAGTTTCTGTTTCTCTTTCCAACTTTCCTGCTGAGCCCCTGGGACCTATTTATCCTCCTTTTCCCTTTGCCTCCAGCCTCCAGGGCCAGGCTTCTTGAGCTCCTGGATGCCCCAGCCACCTGGCGCCCTCCTCCAAACCCCTCCAGCCCTGCCCGTCTTCTGCACTCCCTGCTGCTGCAGCCTGGAGCATGGTGTCTAGTGCCACACCCATTCTTCCTGACATTCTAGACTCCTTGGGATCAGGGTGGGCCCCTCCTTGCACTGCAGTAACTGTTGCATAGACATGGACTGCAGGCTTTGGGGGAAAGTGTGAATTTTAACCTCTTTCCACTTCCCAGGCAGTGTAGAGGACACTCTAGATCCAGTCTCTTTCCCAAGGTGCCCAGAGCCCCACCCTAAAGCTGGGCACACTGTATTGCAGATGGCTCCTTGGCCACCCAACAGGACTGCGGGCAAGGAGAGGACAATATGGCATCTATCCCGGGCACATAGGGCCATTACTGAGGATGCTAAGGTCAGTGGTTCACTGTGTGTCCCGCATCTCTGCATTCCAGCAGGAACCTGCATCAAGCCAGCATTGAAAAAGGGGGTAAACTGAGGCCCACAGAATGCCCAAGGGCAGCTCTGGGTCAGACAGCCCCAGACCACATAACCCATTACTTCCTGCGCACTGGTTGTGCTGGATCCACCAACTCACCCTTGGTGCCCTCCAGGACAGGGCTGGCCTGGAGTACCAGGAAGTCTCACCCCCAGGAGCACACTCCCCTAAGAGAAACACAAGGAGACAGGAGGCATATGGGCTCAAGGCCTTTATTCCTCATTTTTCTCTGATCTGAGTAAGGGTTTTGTTCAACTCAGGATGCGTTTTTCTCCTGGATGGACCTCTTCAAGCTTAGAATCCAGTGGAATTCCCCAACAAGGCCCCCACAGCGGCCCCGACAGAGCCCAGGACCACGTTGGAAGATGCGGAGAGTCCAGCTGCCCCTGGGAAAGAGACCGGGTGAGTACATGGCTAACAGGTGGAGGGTCCCCCTTCTCCCGCCCATTCCTTTGTGTAATCGCCCAGGGCTCTGCTTTGGACAGAGAAGGCTGCAGAGAGCAAAGGGACTGACTGAGTTCCCGGGAACCCAGAGCTTCAGGGCACCACCTTTCCACAGGGAATGCTGCGGAGGCTCCAGGCTCCAGGTTCAGCCAGGGCTGAGCCCAGAGCCCAGGCAACCTGTACCCCAACACGGTCTCCTCCCTTCTTCACCCTACCTAGCACTTCGTCAGCCTTTTAAGTCACTCCAAACCTCACTCAGAAGGAGCCAGACTGTAGGAAAGGCGACGGAGAGACGAAGAACCTGGCATCCATGACCCAGGAACTTTGGATGCAGAACAGGAAGGCGCCTGCTCCAGGTTCAGGCTGGGCTCCCCGGATCGGGTCACTTACCGATGGACTGCAGGGTGGCCACCACGCCGCCTGCCGCCACCCCGCCCCCGTTGGCGATGGCGGCCGCGGACATCATCTTGGCGGCGATGGAGGAAGCTGCGATCCCGGTCGCGGTGAAGCCCACGGAGGTCAGGACCAAGGGCGCAGCGCCCAGGGCCACAACTGCAGGAGAGGGAGGGGCGGTCGGTGCGGGCGGAGAGGACTTCCCTAACAGTTTCTGGGTACTGCGGTCTGAGCTTGGGGAGGGGGGTGCAAGCTAAAGAAGAAAGTGGACATGGAGCCAGTGGGGACCAAGAAGTCCCAGGACGACCAGGCGCGGATAAGGGCTGGTGTGCCCCTAGCCTTCCCTGGTCTCGGGGTGCTGCGGTGCAATTACTCAGGGTGAACCCGTTTGGAGAATCCCCCGCCCCCACCCCCGGGGCCTGATCCGCGCATCCCCCAGCAGCTCCGGGGCGAGGCTGGGCGTCTCCGCGGAGTCCTGGCCAGCCGGGTCCAGAGACGAACCTGCTCCGACAGCAGTGGCGAGCAGCGCTGCGGAGAGAAGAGCGGGAGAGGGGCGCTGGTGAGCGGGGCTGCGGGGCGCGCGAGGCCCGCCCGGCCCGGGAGGGGAACTCACTGGTCATGGCGAAGTCTCCGGCGGCGAGCGGCTCGGGTCTGAGGTCTGCAGCTCTGTGCGGAGCAACCCAGCCAGGCGAACTGCACCGCTCTTCGCTGAGCGGCGCCTCGCGCTCCCGCGCAGAGGGCGGGGAGGGGCCTCGCCCTGCCCACCCCCACCCCTCCAAAGCCTCGGTTGAGGAAAGCAAAGCATTTTTTCTTCTCTTTTCGTGTCTGCTATTTATCATCAAGAATCTTTGTGACAGATTCTGGAGAACCACGAAAATAATGGCTCCTCTCATTCTCAGATGGTTTGAGGGCTTTTCACCCCTTACCCCAGCCTTTTTCTTAGTAGTGTGGATTGAGCACAAGGCCTTTCCTTATTATTATTATTATTATTATTATTATTATTATTATTATTATTATTTTTGAGACTGAATCTCTCCATCGTGCACGCTGCACGCTGGGCTGGCACTTGGGATCCTCCGGCCTCGGCCTCCCAAAGTGCTGGCATTATAGGCATGCACCATCACTCCTGGCTTCAACAAGATTGTCAGAGTCAAATGTATTGAGGTCTAATTTAAAGTAGACCCAAAACTAAGTTAGCCTTTTAGCGCACAGTTCTATGACTCTGGATGAACTTTTGCAGGCACAGAGATACAGAATGCCTCCCTACCTCGCCTCCCTGAAATTCACAGGCCTCCTTGCAGTTGCCCCTCCTCCATGGCCACCACTAATCTCTTTGCAGCTCCTGCACATCTGCCTCTCCAGAACTTTAATTTGTTTATCATCACGTATTCTCTCCTGTGAACGTGCTTCAGTGCAATGTATCGGCCTCCTTTTCCCTTTCTTTCTTTGTTTTTTTCCTTTTTGTATTAGGAATCGCACTCAGGACTTCATGCTTGCTAGGCAGGGGCTGTGCGGTTTAGCTTGGCCTCCTTTTCCAAGGGTCTAAATTTTGCTTCCTAAATTTTGTTGTTATAAATTCTCTTGGCGTGAAACGCTGACGTCGTGTTTCCTAATCATGCATCCCTGGAGGTGGAATTGCTGGGTCAGAGACTGAGCTTCCGCACTGGCTGTACAGAGAGAGCATAGACAGAGTTTATCGCAAAATGATCAGGTTTTCAGAGCTCTCGAGGATCCACCTTCCAGCGTCACGGCAGAGACACCAAAAGAAGACTCAGGCTCCCTCTGTGTGATAAACAGAATCTGTAAAGAATCTGGTTTCTTCCTCTGAGGTCATTGCTCTTTTGCGAGGAAAATGGGCCGCCCTGACCAACTTCAGAGACAAATTTCCTTGCCTGCTCCCAGGGCTTCTATTTAGTTCTGGGATCCTGAAGTTTTCCCCAAACCCTTATCCTGGGTCTGGAATGTGTGCGGACCCTGAAGTTTATCAGACTGCTCAAAGGTTACATACTTTGGGGCTGAAGTTTGAAACCATAAGCAGTTGGATTTTCTCTATAGTTAATGATTTAGAAAATGAATGAAAAGGGAGGAAAACCATGCCTCCTCTGCTTTTCGGGTAGCTCCCAAATGCCTGTCTCCAGGCCTGGTAATGTGCAATTTTCTGCCCACCCCTAGCTATTACCTTGTTCTTCAAAAATAGTGTATCAATGTATACTCTCTTAGAAGAAGTATGTGGGAGGGGCCTGGGCCCTTGCGTGGCAAGCACAAGGTGGTGAGTGGGAGGGCCTATTTCTATTTCTGACCAATTTAATCATTTAAAAAAAAAAGGTTTAGTGGCTCAAGGTGTAGCTTGGTGGCAGCATCTTATGTAGCATGGAGGAGGCCTTAGCTTGCATCCCTAGTTCCCCAAAACAAACATATAAACAACCCCCCCAAAAACCATTTTGTTGCTTGAATAGGTGAAAAATTGTGACTTATTTTAATTTACATTTCATTACACCACTAGTGAAGCTAAACTATTATTTATTAGGCACATGCAGTCCTTATTTTGTGTGTTATCTTCTCATATTCTTGGGCCTTTTTTCTTGGAATATTTTTTTCCTATATATTCAGGAATTAAATGATAGACATTATTTAGTGTACATCTATCTTGATCCATTCTTATGTATGTTGAAAATTTTTGTTTCCATTTCATCATTGTCTATTTTTTTCTTTGTCGTTTTGTTTTGGTGATTTTTTATAATTGAGAAAAATTTTTAGTATTTATACAAATTTATCAATATTTTACTTTTATTTATTTATTTATTTTTTGTCTTTTTGAGACAGGGTCTCTCTATGCAGTTCAGGCTGTCTTTGAGCTCACTTTGTAGCCCAGGTTGGTTTTGAACTTGCAAGGATCCTCCTGCCTCAGCCTCTGGACTGCTGGGATTTCAGGCATGAGCCACACCCCGCTACTTTTTTTTTGGTATTGGGGATTGAACTCAGGATCTTGCACTTGCCAAGCAGGAGCTGTGCCACTGAGCTGTACATCCCTGATCCTCATTTTTGTTTTTGTGTGCCTAAAAGTGTTCTGCTAGGTGTGGTGGTACATGCCTATAATCCGTGCACATAGGAGGCTGAGGCAGGAGGTCACCACTAATTCAAGTCCAGCCTGGGCTACATAGTGAGTACTGGCCAGCCTGAATTACTTAGTGAGAACTTGTCTCAAAAAAAAAATTTTTTTTGTTTTTACTATCTATCAGATATCACTTATATTTCTTTTGGATTATTCTGGGGTTTCAATTTTTCTAATCCACCTGGAACTTAGTTTGCTAAATATTACTATTTATCATGTCTAAGCCAGTTGTTCTAACACTCTCTTTTTAATTACCTGTTGTTTCATCTTTGATTTGACATTACATTTTTATATTCAAAACTCATGCTAGGGGTGTGTGTGTGTGTGTGTGTGTGTGTGTGTGTTTGTGTGTATGTGTGTGAATGCATGCTAGTATATATCTATGTGTGTGTATAGTATATATCGGTTTTGGAATTTTTATGTTCCAAAGAGCTATCTCTTCTTATCGGAGACCCCTGCAGTGAGCTCCAATCTCCTGCCTCAAGGGAAAAACAGAAAGAGTAAGAGGAAAAATCTGGTGCAGCCAGGATCCAGGTGTTCATCAGGAGCAAGAGGCCACAGGGCAGCCTGAACCTCAGCACTTGTGATTGAGAGGGGATTATCAGATGACTCAGAGGCCATGGTGATCCTAAACAAATCAGGACCTAGCCCTGGAGCGTCTTTAGTCTTAGTAGTTTTAGTTTTAGTCTTAGTGGTCTTAGTCTTGGTCTTGGTCTTTGAATGTGGGAGAAGAAGGTCCACCCCTAATGGGGTAATGGAAATCTCAAAAGGGGATACCAAAAATCCCAAAGGAAGTATGTAAAACTAGCCACCGTGAACTTGTGGCCCCCAGAATCTTTCAGTAACAATATTGCTATATTTTAATGTTTACAAATTTATTATTTGATTTAAAATTCTGACTGTAATTAGCGATGTGATTGCTAATTCAAGGCTACGCTGTTTTGTGTGAAATTTAAAATACTTTTTAGCCCCTCTTACTATTCCAAAATGATATTCGTAGATTATGTATTTGAGTTACACACAATATAAGCTAGGAAATTATTAATATTATTATTATTATTTTGGTTTGGGGATTGAATTTATGACCTCGCACTTGCCAGGCAGGCACTTATGCTGCGGAGCTAAACCCCAGGCCTGGAAATTATTTTTAATAATATAGTATCTGTTTGATATATGTTATATATTGTGTCTATTTAAATATGGTATGTGTGTGTACTATTATATCAGATGATAAAGCAAATCAGTTGTATGCTTCTCTCCATATGGATTTGGATTTAAGAAAACAGACTATTCAATAGAAAATTCTTTTTTTTTTTTTTTGGTACCAGGGATGGAACTCATCACCTCGCGTTTGCCAGGCAAGTGCTTACTCTGCGGAGCTAAATCCCCAGCCCCCAATGGAAAATTCTTCTTCCTTTTTTTTTTTTTTTGTACTGGTAATTGAACTCATGACTTTGTGTTTGCCAAGCAGGCACTTATGCTGCTGAGCTAACCCCTCGGAGCTGCTCTTCATGCCTCTTTATAGAAACAAGAGCTGAAAGGAATATACCTATATTTTCATGTATCTCTGTCCAATCATCATAAATGTGAAATTGAAAATATTGTCTTACTGAAGTTAGTTCCAGGAGTGACACTGCTGCTGGAGACATGCTTTTCTGAAACAGTGAATAACTTAATAAACTTCAGGACAAAGTAAAGTACAGTCTTTCACTGATTTGCGATATGACTACATTCCTGCAAAACTCAATCTGTGTTAAAGCTGTATTGTTATGGTTTAGATCTAGATGTCCTCCCAAAGCCTCATGCCATCACTTTTGCAGTTGATTGGATTATGGGGGCCTCTAGCTGACTTGGTCTTAGGAGGTAGGGCCTAGTTGGGAAGGTGGTCACTAGGGGCTCCACCTGGAAGGGTTTATCTCCCTTCCCAGATCCTCCTTGACTCTGTTGCTTCTCAAGCCACCATGACCTGAGCAGTTTCTCCTCTGCCATGCCCTTCTACTGTGCTGTCCTGTCTTGCAGCCAGTAGACCATGGACTGAAACCATATGCAAAAAACGCACCATCAAAGTCCCCAAGTGCCCCTCAGAGGGCAGTACTACCCTCATTAGAGACTATTACTTTAACAGATACTTTTTTTTAAAAAGCTAGAACTGTTTATAATTACTTTAGAAAAAAATAAACAAAAGTAATGGTATTAACATACTTGGCAATTATTTTAAAAATTTATGTGTACTGAGTAACTTGTTCATAGGAACTCATTATATGTGACAAATTATAGAGTTATGATTCTGATTTTTTTTTTAAACCAGTATCAGGGATCGAACTCATGACCATGCACGCACTTGCAAGGCAGGCACTTATGCCACTGAGCTAAATCCCCAGCCCCTATGATTCCAATTTTAAAAGTATACTTCAGTTAAGAGTTTTCCTTTTGTGTATAAACTGGAAAAGTGTTGTATTTTAAAAATAATTTTGTAAACAAATATTGTTTAAGAAAACTTAAAATTCCAAAGTGATTTCATTTTATTAGAGTTATAAAATTCACTTGTCCTTTTTTTTTTTTTTTTTGGTCTTTTTCCTTTTTATCGGTACTGGGCATTGAACTCACGACTGCCTGCTTGCAAGGCAGGCGCTT